TTTTGTGTGACCTACGTGCGACTCTGGATAAAATGAGTGGGAGTTTGTCATCCGAGAGCTGGATTGAAGACACTGACGTTTTCATACAGTTCCTAATGTTAATGCCGTGGAACATATGGAGTAGCTTGATGGATTTCTTCCTCCATCTGCTGAATGGTTAGGAGGTTTTGACACTGAACTTCGTGGGCACGTGGCTTCACATAACCCGTTCAAGCCCATCGGAGATGAGACTGTCGCTGGGAGCAGTTAGCATAAGCCAGGCCTAGTCAGCAGAGCTCTTAGCACAAGCCTATGAATTTTAAGTTTTTGCTGTTGTAGAAGTTTGACAAAAATACGATCAACCAACCATCTGTCTAAAGCAACGTAGGAATGCTGGTGCGCTCAGGAAAAGAGGTGGGCAAACGACGGGAATGCCCTGTTGTCACCGTGAAGTGGAGGTGTCTGGAAGCGTTCAAAACAAACAAGCTGTGAGCACCAGCGATGGTGACAGCCCGTCAGAAATAGCGCGCTTGACACGGACCCACCATCGACAGGGTGTTCCCTACAAAGGACATCTAACAATATCGGGGCGAACCATCATTTGCTAACGAGCCACTCGATGATGTCAGGAGGTGAGAGGGGGTCACCCCTTCACTATGAAGCAGCGAGCCGAGATGACACAACAGCAGAGAGACCCGAGCACGGCTGTTACCAACCACAAAACGGGTAGCTGCACACTGAGTTTTTGCTTAACCTCTGACCTACATGTCTCCTGCTGGGAAGGAGCGTGCCAGTTTGCGGTTTACTGACGAGACCAACACCAAACCCTAAAGCCAACCCTGGAGTGAGCAGAAGGAAAAACACGGCAGAGTAGAAATGTACCCATCCACCCCAGCAAAACAGGATGAACCGTTCAGGCGGGAGAGTGTCCTGCCTTTGTCTTTCATATCCACCGAAGGCAGCAAACACTAAGACCATTCCAGGACGGACAGTTTACCACAGCTAGCCAAACCGTTTAAGACCAAGCATACAATAATTTCCCCAACAAAATTTCTAGGGAGAAGTAATTCAGGAAAAACCTAACAAACTTCAGACTTCAAGTGGGGACCCCCAGTTTCTCTTTCTGATTTACGGGCTGCGTTACATCAAGGGTAGCCTGAAAGATGCTGCTGGTTCCAGTACCAGTAATGTGCAGACAATACAAACCTGTATGTAATTGCTTCCTACAGAGGAAATTGTACCACCAGTGACCTTAATAATTCGAAGAGGGATAAATAATAACTTATTGTCTAACAGTTCAAACCCCAATGTTGAGAACTTAACAAAAAAATAACTCTGCACTTCCAATATAACCTTAGTCAACCGTTAATCCCGCCACTGTGGCTACGCTGGAAGCAAAGACAGACTATTCACCCCAAATCAAAGGTTTATGGAGCACTCAAAGGCTTCAAATGCCACGCACAGATTTTTACTTACACTTGTTCTTCTATTCGGTGGAGGAATGCTTCGGTTTCCTCCTCCGGTATCTCTCCATCTATACTGGCCAAATAGGAGTAGAGGAACGAGAATGTTTCGAAGGGAACGCGAGCTGCTCCACCTTCTGGGTCCCTTGTTAAGATTTCGCAGGCGTGTTTCATGGAGCTCAGTAAGGACTGCAGGGGGTTCAGTCAAGAAAGGAAAAGCATCAGAGCCACGAACATCCTTTGCATGCCATGACAAAACTCACGCTAAGCCTCTGAAAGTGAGTGTCAATGAGATGAAGGCTTTATCACCCTTACCTAGCTTTCAACCCCAAATTTACCCTCCAATGCAGGTCCAGGGATGGAAACAATAATGAAGTGCTAGTCGAAAGAGGAGTAAAAAAATAACAGAATGCCATGATGTTTTAAGATTACACAGGGTAGTCTGAGCTTTATCTCTATTATGGACAAATTGCTCTATCCTGCTATTGTAAAAGCTCAAGCATCACTATGCTTAGCTCTCTCCATATACATGCACACTCATATAGCTATATATGTGCGATGTGTATGTATATATACACATGTATGTATTCATCCTCTCAATGGTTCTAAAGGAATTCTCAGCAGCACTGAAGACAGACCAATCTATGAAACCCAGAAAATTCATATGGTTTTGGTGATTTATTATGACATAGTATGAGCGTGATACCAATTTTTAGGAATGATGATATTTACTATTTTCCTTATTTGAATGCAAGTTCCATTTTAGTAGTTAGTAGGAAAAGCACTGAGGCAAAAAACATTTCAGGAATGTTTCAGTTTTAGTCAAAGCCAAATAGCATCTGAGTTCCCTTTGGAACAAATGTGCCTCAAAGTATTAATTCCAAATATACTTTTAAAAAAAACTTTATTCAGTACAGTGTCTACAATACATGCTGAGCTATATGGGGAAATGAGGAAGAATTCAGCATTGAGCTTCACTGAGTCAAAGAGTGGCTGGGTGCCATAACAACAAAGAAACAAACGTTGCTGTTACTTATTTTAAATGAAGAACCCAAACTATAAAATCATGTTGGGAAGGGGGAATTAGAATCAAGAAATACACAGTTGAAATGAATATATGTGTATATATATATATATACACACACAATTGCATCACCAGGCCAGGTTAACATTCAGGGCTTTCAGATATTGAAACATTCTCAAAATATGACTGAACGTATATTTTCTTTTTAGTACCCCTTCTTCCCTACCGTAGAAGTCATTAAAAATATTATACTGCATAGGAACATCAGCTTAGTGCATTTTATAAATCTCATTCTGTTGAAATGCTCCGCTGAGATTTTATTACTGACATTAAAAGGATTAAATGCAGATTTAGTACCATTAACTGCTGCTGTGAAAATTTAATTGACTACACAATCAATTAAAAATTGATGTTTTAATTTCTCCCTCCAGTTCTCCTCCATGGACATTTACACTGATGCCATAAGCATCATTCCTCTGTCGTCCTCCCTCTCATGGTCCAAGCTCCCTGTGGACACGCTTGCTCTTCTACTGCCATCCCAGTAAACTGAGGACTTGGCCCTCTTTCCGGTTAAGGTCTCCTAACCAAAAATTGATGGGGAACAGAAGTAAACACCCAGCTGCTTTGCCAGCTGCTGCAAAAGCAATCACCATTCCCCAAAGTCCATCTGCATTAATTGTTCTGTGGTCTACCTCATACACGATCATATACGAGTTTGTGGGGCTCCTGCTGTGAACGTACCCCGCCAAGCATGCTGCACCCGAGTGCCAGAACCTTCATCCATTCCACCTCCTCACCAAAGTCGTCCAGCTGCAGGACAGCTCTCAGTTGCTCCTCTGGCAAGCACAGATGCGTCCATTTTTCCTTCAGTTCTGCAACATTCACCATGCCTTTGGGAGAAAGCTTCGAACAAAAACATGGTACCGCAATGAGAACTCCAAAAACTGGAAGAAAACTAAGAACACATTCCCTCCCCAAAATACATCAAATCCTTGACAGTCAGTCTCCCGAGCCATCCCCAACACGTCAGCATTCCTTGGCAGTATTGTGCATTTGGTAAAGGCCTGTTTGTACCTGTTTGTGCAAGATCTTAAGGAGTCCTGGGGTCAAACCAGCATCTGTTTTCTCTGTTGCTAAAGGCATTTCAATCCTCTCCTTCACAGGAAGGGGCTCACCTTTTGACAACGCTGAAAAATACCTAGGTGAAGGGAATAACACCACGCTTCAACGTGCATGGCCGTTAGGAGCTGTGGAGAAGTAAACACTTACAGTTCCGTGAATGAATCCGCACACTCCCGCGTGGGAGCAGCACCACTTGGCAAGCTGCCCGCCTGTCCATCTCCCCGTGCCCAGGTACCCACCCTTCTTTTTAGTGGAAGCCACCACCTTTAGACTTTACACACTGCTTTTTATGACACTCTAATAATTCTTGAGGCATCTGGCTTATTTTGTGCATGATACACTCAGCCCTTCTTGGCAAAGGCAGGGAGTGATTTGTTAATGTCAGAAGGGAAAAGCCTGTGCTTTGGTTTGCAAGCCCCATTTGATGGATGAGTACCTTAGGGCTGATTTTTTTAGCATTCCCCTCACACGCTACCCAGAAACCATGACTGGCTATTTACACTGCAACTCTCTCATCTGTGTTTCTGCTATTTCTGTCCTCTCCAAAGCAAAGTTTAAGACTAGAGCGGAAAGGGAATTAGGACATGGGGGTACTGGTGGATGAAAAAGCTGAACATGAGCCGGCAGTGTGCGCTGGCAGCCCAGAAAGCCAACTGTATCCTGGGCTGTATCAGGACAAGTGTGGCCAGCAGGTCGAGGGAGGGGATTCTGCCCCTGTACTCTGCTCTGGTGAGACCCCACCTGGAGTGCTGCGTCCAGCTGTGGAGCCCTCAGCATCAGAAGGATATAGACTGGTTGGAGCGAGTCCAGAGGAGGCCATGAAGATGCTCAGAGGGCTGGAGCCCCTCTGCTATGGGGACAGGCTGGGAGAGTTGGGCTTGTTCATCCTGGAGAAGAGAAGGCTCTGGGGAGACCTTCAAGGGGCCTACAAGGAAGCTGGGGGGGACTTTTTACAAGGGCCTGTAGTGACAGGACAAGGGGTAACGGGTTTAAATTGAAAGTGGGGCGGTTTAGATTAGATATCAAGAAGAAGTTCTTCATGGAGAGGGTGGTGAGGCACTGGAACAGGTTGCCCAGAGAAGCTGTGGATGCCCCAGCCCTGGAAGTGTTCAAGGCCAGGCTGGATGAGGCTTTGAGCAACCTGGTCTAGTGGAAGGTGTCCCTGCCCATGGCAGGGGGGTTGGAACTAGATTATCTTTAAGGTCCCTTCCAACCCAAACCATTCTGTGATTCTATGATTCTAGATGCACGTCCTTTTAACTAGGCAGCTACCACCACCCTCAAGAGCGACCACCTCTGCCAGAACAGGCCCGCGATCTGAACTGCGCAGAAAAACAGTTTCCATTCAGCCAACAGCAGGCCTTAACTGACAGGTTTCTCCACGTGCCCCAGGGTTGTTTTTCAGCCAGATCCGTTCC